GGGAGGGCAAGTTAATATACATACTTTATGCTAGCTTTCACCTGTAGTGGTTAGGTGAGGGTGACTTCGGCATCCTTAGGGTGACATCTTCGGCAATGCATAGTTTGGTAAATGTATGCCCCTGTGGTAGCTTTTTTTTTTTTTGTATGGGATGCAGTTGTTCCTTCATTTCACAAGTGCTCAGTGATCTCAGTGATTGTGTTAGCTATTACTGAGTTGTCACAAATCTTTTAAATACTGTTTTACTATTCACATTGTGTCCAATTTTATAAGGGTGAGAGCACAGAATGCACAGTGGATGTTGGCAGACTCATTGTATTATTGTTGAATTAATATATAACGTTCCCTGTTCCAGATGCAGCAGCCAGTGAAGGCGTTTTGGCCAGCTTCTTCAATAGCCTGCTAAGTAAAAAGACAGGATCACCAGGAGGAAGCCCAGGAGGACCAAGTCCTGCACAGAATGCAACAAAGAAGCCAGGTATGATGGATATTGTGCGCACACAGGCAGTTATTTATTGCCCTTTCCGGTGGACCTTTATGTCTCTTGGTAACAGAATCCCGGCTGCAGAAGGTATCCGATTCTTCCGGGCGTGTCGAATAGATTCTCACCTGCCTTGTGCTGTGGGTCCACCCTCTGCTTTATAATCTGACAAATTCTAACCCTCATATTACAAATAATTTTTTTAACAAAAGCAATGTGTTTTTACTGCTGCTGTGACCCTGTTAGAGATGTTTTCTCCTTACATGCCCCTATGGCCATACAAAGTGAGGATAAATCTCTCCAATGGTGACAGATATCAATACAAACCTAGAGGGTTTAGTCATTCTCACATTAGGATTCGTTCACACAGGGCATTCTGAGTTTCCTGCAACAAGAACTTATGAATTTCTGTGGCAGGAATCATATGTGTCCCCGTTCAAGTTAATGACAGGGTGACAGTGGCCACAGCTGTCGGCAACAGTCCACATGTGATCATACATGGTACAATTACATGCAGTTTGGGATAATCTTTGCCCTGTGGCCTGGATAGATGCGTTCTATCCCAAATGGCATATACTCCTACCATGTATGATTACATGTGGACTGCTGCTGACAGTTGCGGATGCTGTCACCCTGCATTTAAATTCAGTGGGTACAGCATCTGCATTAGAATGAGTACATATGGGATTCCTGCAGCAGGTATCTGTGGGCTCTTGTTGCAGGAATCCCAGAACGCCCCATCTGTCTCTGGATAGGTGCATTGAGGGACAATCATCTATCCCGAACCACTGAGAGGTGCAGTCGCTGTCTCCCTGTCATTTAACTTAAGTGGTTTCAGCGGCTTCGTCTGAATGGGGACATAAGCAGCGTGCCACAGGAATCTATAGGTTCTTGCTGCAGGAATCCCAGAACGCCCCGTGTAAATGTAGCCTTATCACCCCAAAAAAAACAGGTTATATCTCCACTTTATAGGGAATGTATGCTTTCCCAATGCAATGTTCACTTTAATGTAGACCTTCAGAGACAAATACATTCAACTCAGGGCTACGGACTCCCCGCTTGATGGCGCTGATTGGCCCATCGTTTTTGCATGCTTCCAACATATTTGGTATATGAGTATTGGGTTGTTTCTGCAGCTTCCAGCGCTAAAGAGAGCAATGGGATAGCAGAGGAAAAGTATATGTTGCTGTGGATGGGAGATTGAAGCAAACCTACTGCATTGCCAAAGATGGGGAAAATCAAAAGTTAGCTTTAAGTTTGCAAAGACCCAATAGCTGTCACTGACTCTGTTTTCTCTTCTCCAGGACAGAAGCCTGTACTGACCAACGTCCAGGAGGAACTGGACAGAATGACCCGGCAGCCTGACACTGTGTTACCAAATTCTGCCCCAACGGAGAATGAGGCCTGACCTGCTGATCAAGCAAACAATTACACTTGTGTAAATGACCAAATAATAACCATGTATAACGGACTTAAGGCTGCTCTGACACAGCGGATACTGTAGGTTTCGTCGTGGAAAGCGGCAGGCCTCCTAGCTTGTCTCAAGTGTTACATGCCCCTTACGGGAAGCTTGCCTTGAATTTATTCCACCTGATTAACCCCTCAAGTACAGAAAGTGGCTAGCATCTTTTCAGGTTTCGGCACCCACGAATACTTAAAACGGGTTTTTGTGAATCATGAAAAAGTCACAGGTTAAGTTTAGGAGTTACGGATGGCACGTCTCTCGTTTACCACCAAACAAGACCTGCTGTCTTTAACGTGCGCCATGTTGCTGACTCTGCTTTTGGAGGACGATAGTAAGTTTGAACCTGAGCTGAAATAAGCATGTGCTCCAGTTTTTGGAGAGCAAAGGCTCGACTGTAAGTTAGGGACAGAAAGCTGCTTCATCTTCCCCTTTTGTGCATCTGCCCAAGGGTATATGTGTCTTTGGCTTTCTGAGAATCCTTCAATTTACCCCTAGCAAATCTCAGCAAGGGAATTCTACGTAGGACACTTTAGGTCGCCAGTTGGGAGAACTGAAAATAGGGAGTTGGGGGGGTGGTGGCCATTATATAGGGTGGGAACAAAAATCGTACGTTTGGCAGTTCCTAGAGCGGTTCAGGATGTGCCACTAGGAGGTGCTTGGAGGATTATGCACTGTATGAACAGTCATTTTTATATACATATGTATTATTTGCAATGATCTAGCAGCAGTCACTGTTACCTGTTGATGAATAACATTTTCCCAGCGTGCATTCCTGCACCTAGACCTAGGTCTCTGGGTGCACTGTAGACCTTGGCGTAGAAGGGGGTTTGCTGCCAGCCTGCTTGGTTTTTCATAGATCATTTTATTATTGTTATTGCCATGAACTCTATTTAAAGTTGTCCTGGAAGTAAGGCTGGGGCTATATGCTGCAATGCTTGACCCATTAAACACCAGAGGCGCAAGAAGCTCCTGCTTTTCAGGAAAAGGCTTTATAGTTGATTCAGGAAAAGTATAATGGGAAAATTGCAGACCCGCTGTCTGTAGAACAGACCACTTTGGCACCTTGTCTAGCCTTATACCAACTATAAAATAAATTGTACTTAGTCATACAATTCTAAGTACTTCTATGTACATAGTAATGTACATAAGTATACCATAAGAAAGCCACCGGTCGTGGAATACGTGTGACCTTTATGTTGCTAATCAACACCACTTGTTTTTTAAATGTATGTTTTTGTTTTTCTAAAATACTTGCCAACAGTCTTAGCACTGAGGGGTGTTACTTCTGCCTCCTCAGGGGCAGAGCTCCTTTATAAATGGGTGTTTCTGGCTGGGTTCTTTGTGGGTGGAGCTTGTCAGCTTTCTCCTGGGATTGTTGGCAAGTAGGCAGGTTTTCTTTTAATGTTTTTAATTGTCAAGGCACTTTCCCCGTGTTAGCTGCAAACTCTGAGTTCTGGCTGGATCACACCGCCTCAAACTTGCAGGTGGATTTTTTTTTTCTTTTAATTTATTTATTTTAAAAACATTTAATTGGATACTTTTTTTTTTTTTCTCGCAGTGCAATCCAGCCTCTCTTTGTATATTTACTAGATATTTGCCTCTGTTTACCACTAGAATTCACAACCTGTTTTATTGTCCTATTTTTCTGTGTAACCAAAACACTATCTAACGCGTTACAAATCTGTACTTACCTCGGAGTGAAACCTGCGTTCCTCGCTCTAGTTTGCGTATCGATGGAAGCTTTCTCTTTAGTGTCCTAACACAATGGTTAAGAATAGGTATTAGTCAGTACGAAGCATGTGGACCTATATCACTGCATTTTCCATAATCTGCACATGCTGGACGCCGTTCTGTTCAGCCTAATCCACTGATTGGCCTATTCACTCACTAGGAACATGGGTCCCTCTCAAACTATTGCTTATAGCATCCAATCAGATTTTACCTTTTAACTTCCCTGTTCCGTATGGGAGGATAGAAGCAGAATCTGGTTGACATTCGCTACAACATTGATACTACTTCAGAGACCAAAAAAACGAAGGCCTAATTGTGCCAAACCGCCAGCCATGTGACTGGTTTGAGGGCTTGGATAGGTTAGCTTTGGGGTTCGGTGGCAATAAAAGCTGCCTCCACTAAGTGCTGGAAGATGGGCCTGAAGAGGTGATTTTGAAGCCACATTTTTTTTCTCAAATAGCGCAGTATTCATTAAGATTGTCCTCAGAACATGCGCACAACTCGCTTTAAAGAGAAACTATGATGCATTTTCTGGTGCATATGCGTTTTAAGTTATTGGAGTAATTTCCGTAAACCATTTTTCATGCCAGTTTCACATTTTTGCTGTGCAATCTTTTCATGGCAATGTTTCACATGTACTGTCCCTCTAGTGGCTGTCCAGAGTGAAGGTGTCATAGTTACATAGTCAGGTTGAAAAAAGTCCATCGCATTCAAATTATAAAGATATGGAAAAAGAGAAGAAAATCCTAAACAGAACGCTATGCCCACAGCTACCCCCTGTTGATCCAGAGGAAGGCAAAAAAAAACCTATAAAGCGTGGTTCAATTTGCTCCAACAGGGGAAACAAAAATTCCTTCCTGATCCCATAAGGCAATTGGATATTCCCTGGATCAACAATCTCTGATGTTTAATATACCTATAAGAACTCAATATCCAGTAATAGATCCAGATGTTTTTTTAAAACAATTAACCAAGCTAGCTAGAACTAGCTCCTGGGGGAGTCTATTCCACATTTTCACAGCTCTAATTGTGAAGAATCCTTTCCGTATTCAAAGGTTAAACCTCTTTTCCTCTAGACGCAAAGAGTGCATTCTTTTTTTATACATATATATGTGATGCCCAGATACCATTTTTACAAGTACTAATTCTTGTCACGTCCTCACAGACACAAGTTATGATACATTTTTGTTTATTGTCATGTGACAGTTTTTCTAAAACAATACTGACTAATGATTTCAGGACAGTGGTGGAGTGCCAGAGCCAGGTCCAGGCTGCAACCCTGGTAGTTCTCATGAAAATGCCAAGTATCTGCACTGGTATCTGGACATCCCCAATAGGTGCTGTGCCAGTTTAGATTCTGATTAGCGGCATGGGGCACAGTATGACCCTTTGCTGGATCTTTATTACTATATACCCTGGCAGGATATCCCTCACTTGCAACCCAGCTGTGACAGCCAGGCTTTGCATTGGGCTGAACGTCCGAAGTCCCATGGAGGGCATCCTCCATGTGCTCTTTTAGAGAATCCACTAGGGGGTCACTGACACCAGAGCACCCATGTGACCAGCTACCTAGTGGATTCCCTGGAAGAATTCGTGAAGAATGCATTTCTGGGAGTGAAATTGGGGACTTCAGCTCCTAGCAGAGTCCTCGGTGTCACAGCAGGACCAAAGGTCATAGACACCAACAAATACCCAGCAGAGTATTGAGCTCCTCCGTACTCTAGCCACACACTGTAACGCTTTCCTGGGTAGCGGGCTGCTCAGACAGTATATAAAAGAACGAGGGCTGTAGCCTGAGAAAAACAAATATATATATCATTAAAATTCTTTTATTTAGAGCATAGATTGCTTGTTTATATACTTAAAGGGAAACCAGATTATTTTCATTTTTATTATAGTAACCGTCATTTTTTGATGACTTTAATATATTTGCTTGCTCGCTGCTTCATTTTGCATGTAGGTATTTCATTACTAATTTTCATTTTCCCCTTTAGTGACCATCGTTTTTATTAGCGTGGTCAGTATCCCTTCAAAACAGCTGCTGCGATTACAGGACAAGCCACCCGGGAAGTACATTATTTTTAGTCAGTCGGAGCAGACTGGCTGACACTGGGTTGGATTGTCAGGTTCAGTCATTGTGCTTCACTACTAGGGGCCCATTCACACCACATCCAGATTACCACCAGACTGTTTCTGGATCCTAATGTCTCCCTATGTTATTTCTGGCCTCTGTTCCCACCAGTGCAGTCTGTTCCAGACCAGAAAAACACTGCTTGTCCTATTTTGTCTGGTCTGGAACGCACTGGAACGCATCAAAACACATAAAAAACGCATGGATCGCACCTGTAAGACCATTTTAAGCTAACAAAAAAGAAATTCCAATCACGGTAAAATCGCGGCAAAAATGCAATGCACTATGTTCCAGATCTGGTCCGGAAAATGGCGTGAACCCAGCCTAAGGCCGCACAGATTGCATATGTAAAGAACTAGTATGGCTCCCCCGTGTACTTGCAGACATGGTTCTCAAGACCTTAAATTGCATCGATGACCATTTTCAGCAAACATGGATTCAGGTATATCTAAACTTCCTCTTAAACATGACAAAGTGAAGCGAATACTGAAAGCTGTTCTGAGGACAATTCTGAACACTGTTCCCTATCAGTAACCGTGGGCTCTATATCCTGGAGCAGGGCTAAGCAAACCTGGGCCCTCTAGCTGTGGTGCAACTACAAATCCCATTAGGCATTGCAAGACTCTGACAGGCACAGGCATAGCTCCCAGAGGCTGATGCATGATGGGATTTTATAGTTTCACCACAGCCGGAGGGCCAGAGTTTGCTTACACCTGCTCTATATGAATAATGGGGGTTTTCTAGCTTATGTTCTACAGTCATATTTACAGATTAGTACATGTTGATGATAAATCAGCACCTGCACAAAACAGAGGACGCTGAACCATTTCATCACGGCCACTCACTTTGTGCCTCAGTGACATCACAGATCCTTGTTAAACATTAGGTCCTATCTCCGATATTGGATCAGGTCAGAAAATGACTGCTTCTGCTTTGTGTAGGTGCAGGCGCAGGCGGATAGTCTAATGCTTCACCACCTCTGTCATCTGGAAAGGCCGCCCGCAGTATCAGTGCAGCTGTAGCTGTGTCCAATGCTGATCTCAACTGACCCTTTAACATGGCGCTTTCTGGAGCAATTTAAAAAACAAAACAAAAAATCAAATAAAGATCACCTTTTTAAAAGGGAAATAATGGGGTGTCTGTCATTTCTGATTGTCTTCAGTGCTTGGATGTACAGTCTAGGCTTCTCTGTCTGCACTTCTCAATAAACTCAATGTGGTTTGCTACATTACATCATGAAAAGACGTGTTTTGTTTTAGTAAGCTCGTGAATGGGATACCTTTTTATTAAGTGTCAGAAAAAAAAGGCTTTGGTTACCAAAGCCGCAGAAAAACTTCTGTTTCTGAGTCTTCCTCCATGTGAAGTCTCTAGATTGCACAGGAAGGCCTAGCTGCAGTTACTTTTACCTACAGTGACACCCACTGGTAAAAGCTTGTACTGCAATACAAAAACCGCAATAGATTGCCAACCATCATCAACCCAGCTCTAGGCAACCTTGGCGTTCCGGGTGTGGTAAAACTACAAATCCCATGAGGCATTACAAGACTGTCTTCCAGAGACAGAGGTAAGTTT